AGAAGTTTCAGCCAGGATGGCCAATGGCCACAAATTCTAGGAGCTGAAGTCCAAAGCATCTGGATGGTCAAGCGCTGAGAACCAGTGCACTAGATCAATGATTCTTCCTACATTTGTAGGTTAAGCATGTGTTGTACCTCACAGAAGACAATCATTTATTTGAAAAAGAGCTGTCAATTGTCCATATCTAAGTTAAGGATAAATCCTAAAAAAGAAGAGGAGAAACCATGAAGTTGCTCTCTTCAGCTGTGTTCAATCAGAATCTTTCCCAACATGGTAAGATGTATTCTATTTCTATTAAAATATAGTAATTCTGAAAGTAAATGTATCCACATCAATTAGCATATGCACATTTTATACATAGCCAAATCCTCCTCTGTTCTCTTTTCTCGTGATATGTACATTTCCCTTGTTTTAGTAACCAGAGGCATCACTTCAAACATTAGTGTTGGCACACAAAGTGGAGAGGTCAGAAACAAAAAGAAAGAATGAGGCAAGGTTTCAATTGATGCTGAGAAAAAGGAAGTTTACTGTAGTGCAGAAGATGCCCAGTACATTTTTGAATTAATGTGCCTGCCCACAAAGCAGACAGTATTATGCAATCTTATTCTATTGTGTTGTTGCAGTGATTTTAAGAGCTTTTGCTGTACCAGAAAGGACTTTTCCTTCCATCAGAGCATCAGCAACCACATTCAGTGCCAGCAACAAGCTGGACAATATTGAAATCTGGGTTTTCACTTAAAAGTTAATGGAACTCTGAAGTCATTCAAAACCTCAACATGTTCTGCTCTGGCAGACCTGCTTTGCAACTTCCTGTGCTGTCAAATATTTTTACGAAGATCTTCTGGCTCCTTTTGGGGAGAGATACTATGGAAGACAATGCCATTTCAGCAAGAAAAGACTGTGAGCAAGGCAGGGAGTTTGGTTGCAATGTTTGCTTCTGCCATTGGCATAGGCTAAAAATCACTTGCCTTGACATGTGGATCCCAAGTGTATACAGGTCTAAGCATCGTTCATACAGAAATGAGACAGGATTATTGTCTGCAGGCAGGATTTTTCACTTTACATGGAAGTCACTTCTCAGATCATCAATTTCACAAGAAATTTCGCAAGAGTTATACATAAAGTCTACAATCCTGCCCCCCCCCCCGGCGTATGTTGGACTACAATGCTGGAGATCAGGGTCCGATTCCCAGCTCAACTATGAAACCCACAAGGGTGACCTTGTGCAAGTCACAGGCTCTCAGCCTCAGAGTGCAAGTCACAGGCTCTCAGCCTCAGAGGTAGGCAGTGGCAAATCTTGCCAAGAAAACCCCACGATTTTTTCGCCATAGGGTCATCATAAGTTGGAAACGACGTGAAGGCACACAACAACAAACAACAACCTCAACTAAACATCAAAATCACTTAATTTTTTTGTGCTCAGATGAGTAAATGTACAAAATATAGCCCAAAAGTATTGTCAGGAAATTTGCAATAGTGATGTCTCTGCAGCCTTATGCATGCCTAGCAACTGGACGATCCTGCTGAGTAAACATGTATATAGGATTGCTCTGTATGAGATTGAGCAATATACCAGGAAATCTAAAAGTCCAACATAAACTTACTAGCTTGCCTTGTCAAGCCAATTGTGATCAGCCCTGGATCTGCAATATCACTTTTAACCGAGAATTCAGGTGATGAGTGCCAACAGAATTGGAGAAAAAAACTAGGACACCACAGAACAAAGAGGAGCTCCAATTATTATTCCTAATTTATTTTTTAGTTCTTTCTGATCAGCACAGTCGGGAGAAACCCAAAGCCTACAAAATTACAAAAAGAACTATAAAGGTGGCAAATCCCACACCATCCAAATAATGAGAAGTAAGCATGCTGGGCAGCCAGAAAATGAGCTGGAAAAGAAAAATTGAAGTCACAAAATAGAGTATCTCAGAAGACACGGCACAGGAGCATTTTGAGGAGAGAAGAGAAGAGACATCAATATTTTGAGGTAGTTCCTATTTGTGAAGTTAGTACTGTTTCTCAGAAAGACTTCTTTCCCTCCTTTAGAATCATTTAATTGTTGAGGTTATCTGGAGAGACACTCTTGTTGGTGTCACGTGCCCCTAAGATCAGATCTGCAATGACTCAAAACAGGGCATTCAAGGTGTTGATAAGGACTATGTGGAATACTCTTCCCTTAGAAATTCAGCATGCTCCTCCAACTGTTATTACTAATTTACTTATCAGCTCCTTCTGTTACAAGTCCATCAAGCAGGTAGCTGACTTTAGGGGACACAAACATGTCATTAGGGGGGGAAAAACTTGAAACCAAAACATGGTAACCAGAATGCATGCAAATAAAGCCACATCCTTTATGCAGCTGTCATTTTGCACAATAGTTCTCCTCACTGTGCTTCACTGCAATTATATGACAGACACATATGCATCAGAGAGCCACATGCTGCTAATGCTGCCACATGCCACATGCTCCAGGTTTGGGCAAGCATGGTGCGTGTATGTGTATATGTGAATTCAAATCATTTGTCCCCTTATGCCAATCCCATGAATTTCATAGGGCTTTCTTAGGCAAGGAAAAGTCAGAGGTGGTTTTGCCAGTTCCTTCCTCTGAAATACAGCCTACAGCATCAGGGCTGACCCTACTTAGCTTCCAAGATCAGACGGGATCTGGTGCCTTTAAGGTGGTCCAAATATATGACTGCTTGATACAGTAGATACTGGGCAGGACTAGGTACTGAAATCTTGTTAACCAAGAAGACAGAAAGCTGCCTGCCTGTGAAGAGATTTCCCCTTTCTTTCTTTCTAAAGGGAAGAACTACAGATGCACTCAGTGTACGATCTGCAAAAAAGGACCATGGAGTCCCACTGGAATAAGCAGCATCCTCCCCAAGCCCCAGGTTATAGGCCTGCATTATTTATGGGAGCAGATGGCATTGTTAAATAATTTTAGATTCTGGACTTAATGGTCTTACCATGGGAGTGGGGGCCTGTTTAGATCAAGGGTAGACAGCAGGCGACCAGTGAGCTACATTCACACCCACATTTGATTTTATGCCTCCCAACCTGCCCCCTGTTTTCATTAAAAGCTGGGAACATTGCACTCCTGGAAGACACTATGAAGCACGATAAAAAGTCATGCCTCCCTTCACGCGCACATACACAGTATATTTTGGGAGGAAAGAGCTTTTCTGTAAGCCAGAGGTCTGGTCTGTACAGACCATGTTAAGTTGCATTCAGGAGGAAGCTGGCATCCACTGAATCTGCCCACCACTGCTTTAGGTAAGAATATGCCGCTGCCGTGTGCTGTGTCAAGCCGTTTACGACTTAGGATGACCCTAAGGCAAACCCAGCATGGCATTTTCTAGGCAAGGTTTATGCAGAGGAGGTTTACCACTCCCTTCCTCTAAAGCTGAGAGAGTGTGACTTGCCCTAAGGTCACCCAGTAGGTCTCCATGGCTGGGCAGGGATTCAAGCTCTGATCTCTAGATTCCTAGTCCAACAGTCAAGCCACTCTCCATGTATTGTTTACATATGTGCCTTCAAGCTACCTGCCGACTTATGGTGACCCCATTAATTTTATAGGGTTTTCTTAGGCAACAAATACTCAGAAGTGTTTTTGACAGCTCCTTCCCCTGAAATATAGCCTCCAGCACCTGGCCTTTGTTGACAGTCTCCCATCCACTTAGCTGACCCTGCTTAGCTTCCAGGATCAGATGGGATCTGGTGCATTTAGGGTACTTAGGCTTAGTCATTGCTTCATTTAATCCCAAAACGTGCTAAGGAGTCCTCCTTGGACCTGGGGGCCCTCCTGCTCTTTCTGCTGAGTTGGACTCTGGATTTCGTCCCACCATCCCATCCTGACAGCATCATTGCACCCTTAAGTAGAAAAATCAGTGAAAAGTCATCTCTTAACCTACAGTGCTGGACAAGTCTTTCAACTCTCTTTCAATGGTTCTCAAAGGGAAGTTTTACATCAGCTTCACTATCTGATTTGCCGTCGGTCCAACCAAACAAAGTTTTCTTTCATTTTTCAGAAATGAAAGAACTACATTTTAAGGACCTGATCGCTAGGACTCCTCAGCTTGATCACTTCAGCGCATTAAACTGAGCTTGATCTCTGAAACAGAACATGGGACCCAAGCAATTAGATGGAATAAAAAGGAAGCCTCGTCTCTTTTGCTTATAGTGGCTATGAATGGAGACAGATGGATGCCCTCAAACAAATGGGGGGGGGGCATGGGAAGGGGAGGGAGACCATATGGGACAAAAGCCTGCAAGCAATTGAGTTCCAATCTTGGAGAAAAGATGGTACACAAATACAGTTAATAAATAAATACATAAATAAGCTGTGCAGCCCAAATGTATATAAGCATCAGGATGCAGGATTGCATGCTTTCTTGAGTTCAGTGCATTAAAGCTAATAAATTATTATGACAAGAGTATAAGGGGCTAAAAGTCTGTGTGTCATGCAAGACCCGTAAAAGAGACAGGTAGCATCCAAAGGGATTTCTAGACTCATTCAGAATCTTATATAAGTCTAATCAAAAGTAAGGGGGGATGCAGACTGCCAGAAATAGTGCAAATTGAGTCCACTTTTAGGGTTAGGGTTAGTGCTAGGGAATCATGGGAATTGTTTTTTTTCTGAGACATTGAGCCTTCTCTGTCAGAGACCCCTGGTGCCACAATAAAATACAGTTCCCATGATTCCCTAACCCTAACCCTTAAAGTGGACTCAATTTGCACTATTTCTAGCAGTCTGCAAAGGCCCTTATAGGAGGAGAGATAGTGTGATACAGCGGCTTGAGTATTGGACTATGACTCTGGAGACCAGGGTTCGATTCCCAGCTCAGCCATGAAACCCACTGAGTGACCCTGGGCAAGTCACACTCTCTCATCCTCAGGGGAAGGCAAGGGCAAACCTTTCTGAACAAAGCTTGCCAATAGGTTCGCCTTAGGGGCTCCGTAAGTCAGAAATAACTTGAAGGCACACAGCAACAACAAATAAGACTAGAGATGAAGTTACGAAACAACTCCAACCTGGAGGAAGAAGAGAAAGTCACAGGTACGACTACAACCCCAGCAAATGAGATGCAAAAATATGGCAACTTGCAAGTTTGTTTTCACTGCTGAAGCAGTTTCAGTGGCAATTTTGAAACAGGAGCGATTCTTCTCCACAAGGACTAAAGAGAAATCAGTCTCACAGCTTTGCTTAACTACATTCACACAATGGTCCTCCAAATTCTAAATATATTTAACAGTGAAAGAAAAGAAAGAAAGAAAGACTTAGTTCAATATACTTCACATGAAATGGAAAGGGAGAAGAGCTGAAGACTGCAGACACCGGATTTTGAACACACCCACAATGTTATTCAGATTATTATTTTTTTCATTTTAATAAGAGGCAGATTAAGCTAAGCGAAGGAATATTTTGGCCAAGCAGAGATCTTTCTCACTGTCTTGTCAGACACTTCCTCCATTACAATGCAGTCAGCTCCCCGGAAACGAAATTTGTTGTTGTTGTCGCTGTCGTTGTTGTGCATCTTCAAGTCAATCCGAACTTACGGCAACCCTAAGGCAAACCTATCATGCATGGGGTTTTCTTGGCAAAATTTGTTCAGAGAGGGTTTGTCATTGCTTTCCTTTGGGCTGAGAGAGTGTGACTTGCCCCAGGTCACCCAGTGGCTTTCATGACCAAGAGTTGCAGTCCAACGCTCAAATGACCGCACCATGTTTGGTGCTTTAAAAAGTTGTGAGGCCAGCAACAAAAACACCAAAGGCAGGCGCTGCAAGAAAGTGGAAGGAGCATCACTCTCTATACTTTTTATCCCTCTTCCCATTCATTCATTCATTCATTCTCTCGTTCCCTCTCTTTCGCGCACACAAAACACATCCAGGGATAGCCATGATGACCATGTAAGCAAAGCACAACCACTTCCCAAATCCACACAACAGGGATACCTTTATTTCTTGGACCCACACTGTCTTGTGGATTTGGGGTGGTGTTGTACTTTTCCACACTCATAGATTTATTCTTTCCACCACCCACAACATGGGAAGAGGGATAAAAAGAGTGGCACCCAAAGAGATATAGTTTCCCAGGCAGCAGCCAAGGTAGTGTAGTCGCTTGAACCTTGGACTATGACTTTAGAGATCAGGGTTTGAATCCCAGCTGAGCCATGTAAACCCATTGCATGACAGTGGACAAGTCACACTCTCTCAGCCTCAGACCAAGGAGGACTGCAACTCAAAAGACATTGCTGTGTTTAGTCTGGAGCATCAGTAGCCAGTGTGGCTTAGTGATTTGAGCCTTAGAGTAGGACTCTGGGAAGCCAGGGTTCAAATCCTGGTTCGGCCATGCAAACCCACTGGGTGATCTTGGGCAAGTCACACACTCTCACCCTCAGAGGATAGCTAAGGCAAACCCCCGCTAAACAACCTAAGGTCTCCATAAGTTGAAAATGACTTGGTGGCATGGTAGTTTGAACCATGGTCCTGGAGACCAGGGTCCGAATTGCATGCAAAACCTAGTGGGTGCCTTTGGGCAAGTCACACTTTCTCAGCCTCAGAGGACAGCAATGACAAACGCCCCTCTGAACAAAAATTGCCAAGAAAACTTCAGGATACCCTTAAGACCAGGGTTTGAACCCCATGCAAAACCCACTGGGTGGGTGGCAAGTCACACTCTCTCAGCCTCAGAGGACAGCAGTGGCAAAAAACAAACAAACCTCTCAACCAAAATGGCCAAGGATAGCTTTAAGACCAGAGTTTGAACCCCACGCAAAACCCACTGGGTGGGTAGCAAGTCACACTCTCTCAGCCTCAGAGGACAGCAGTGGCCAAAAAAAACCCAAACCTCTCAACCAAAATAGCCAAGGATAGCTTTAAGACCAAAGTTTGAACTCCACGCAAAACCCACTGGGTGGGTGGCAAGTCACACTCTCTCATCCTCAGAGGACAGCAATGGCCAAAAAACAAAAACAAAAAACAAACCTCTCAACCAAAATTGCCAAGGACAGCCTTAAGACCAGGGTTTGAAACCCATGCAAAACCCACTGGGTGGGTGGCAAGTCACACTCTCTCAGCCTCAGAGGGCAGCAATGGCCAAAAAAAAAACAACAACAACTCTCCCAACCAAAATTGCTAAAGGACTTGAAGGCACACACAAGAGCAGCATTTATGTAAGAGAGGCCAAGGAGGAGGAGGAGGAGGAGAAGCCCTTCCTCTCCTGCTCCGCTTACCCCACCATCATCGCCTCCTTCCATCTTCCATCCTCTGCCTCCTTCCTTCCTTCCTTCCTTCCTTCCTGCCCTTTGTTTCAGGCAAGAGGGGCTGGGGAAGCCAAGAGCAGGGGATGCCTGCAGCCAGCGGCACCTTCTCAGTCCTGCCGCTGCTGCTCCTGCTCCTTGATGCTTCTGCTGCCAGGCTCAGGCGGCGCTGGGAGGCGGGCAGCCGGGAGGAGCGGGGCTGGGGGTATGGCTAGGGCTAGAGCTATGGCTGGGCAAGGCGGCTCTCTGCCTCAGAGGGAGCTCCACGCTGGGAAGGTAATCCGACGCTTCTGGGCATGCGCCTGGCTTGGACACTCGCACTCTCTCTCGCCCCCCCCCGTTGCGCATGCGCAGTAGGAGCCAGTGAAGCCTTTCCCTTTCCCCCCCCCCCTGCCAGTAAACTGGGACTAAGGGAACTATTAACTCAGTATAATAAGGCATTGATTGATTGATTGATTGATTGTCCTAGTGGTCTCCAATGTTGGCAGCCAGCGTGGTTTGAGGAGTTTGAGCGCTAGGCTGGGACGCTTGGAGAGGAGCGGGGTTCGAATCCCGGGGGGGGGGGGGAAATGGGCAAGTCACACACTCTCGGCCTCAGACTAGGTCACGCTCTCTCGGCCTCAGGCTAAGGAGGGCTGGGATTTCAAAGGCATTGTTGCCCTGTTGGTCTGGGATATCAGTAGCTCAGCGAGGTCTAGTAATGGCTGGACTGTGACTATGGAGAGCAGGGTTCAGATCCCAGCTTTTGGGGGGGGGGTTTTTGGAATGCGTGAGTCACACTCTCTCAGCCTCAAACTAAGTCACACACTCTCAGCCTCTGATTAAGTCACACACTCTCAGCCTCAGACTAAGGAGAGCTAGAATTCAAAAGCATTGCCTTGTTGGTCTGGGATATCAGTAGCCAGGGAGGTCTAATGGCTGGACTATGACTATGGAAAGCAGGTTTCGAATCCCAGCTGGGGACCATGGGTTAGTTACACACTCTCAGCCTCAAACTAAGTCACACACTCTCAGCCTCCACTTGTCACACTCTTTCAGCCTGAGACTGAGAATTCAAAGACATTGTTTGTCTGGAATATCAGTAGCCAGGGAAGTCTAATGGCTGGACAATGGAAAACAGTGTTCGAATGCCAGCTGGGCTATGAAAACCCGTTGGGTGAGCCAGGGCAAGTCACACTCTCTCAAGTCACTCTCTCTCAGCCTCAGACTAAGGAGGGCTGGAATTCAAAGGCATTGTCCTGTTGGTCTGGAATATCAGTACCTGCACTTTGAAGAGCAGGGTTCAAATGCCATGGAGACCCGTTGGGTCTGGAATATCAGTAGCCAGCATGGCGGAGTGGTTTGAGATTCTGGAGACCAGGGTTCGAATCCTGGCTTGCCCACGTAAAGTCACCGGGTGACGTTGGGCAAGTCACGCTCTCTCAGCCTCAGAGGATAGCAAAGGGGGGGGGGGAATCCTGAACAAAATTTGCCAGGAAAACCCCATAAGAGGTTTACTTTAGGGTCTCCATAAGTCAGAATCGACTTGAAGGCATTAAGAGCCAGCATGGGTGACCTTGGACAAGTCACACTCTCTCAGCCTCAAACTAAGTCTGACTAGAACTCAAAGGCATTGCCATGTTGGTCTGGAGTATCAGTAGCCAGGGTGGTGGAAGAGTTTGAGCCGTGCTGGAGCAGGTCTCTGAAGACCAGGGTTTGAATCCTGGCTTGGCTATGGAAGTTCACTGGGTGACCTTGGGCAAGTCACACTCTCTCAACCTCAGAGGATGGCAAGAGGAAACCCCCTTCTGAAAAAACCTGCCAAGAAAAACCCATTGATAGGTTTGCTTTAGTCAGGGTGACCAGATGTCATTAACTGCAAAGGAGGACAAGGCACCACAAAATGTAGCACATGACCAGAGAAAAAGCTAAAAGCGTTAATATAAAATCATGCTTCTTAATCGTGCTCAGAATGGAGGACATTTTGGAATGCCTCCTGGGCAGAAGGATGGGATGTAGGATGTGTCCTGGAAAAGGAGGACCTCTGGTCACCCTTGTCTTGGGTCTCCTTAGGGTAAGTTCCCCATGCTATGGTTCACCTTTAGTTGTAGCGTGCCTTCAAGTCATTTCCAGCTTATGGCCACTGTAAGGTGAAGCTATCATGGGTTTTCTTCCAAGGGGGGGGTTGCCATTGCCATCCTCTGAGGCTGAGAGAGTGTGACTTGCCTAAGGTCACCCAGCACAACTAAGCAAGGATTCAAACCCTCATCTTCAGAGTCATAGTCCAACATTGAAACTAGTATGCCACATTGCCTTAGGGTGTCCGTAAATGAAGGCACACAATAACAACAAAAGGATCTTGTAGCACCTTTGAGACTCACTGAAAGAGAGTAACTGGGAGCTGAGCTTTGGTAGACTGGAGTCTGTTCAGGGTGACCAGATGTCATCCTTTTCCAGGACATGCAACATGAGCTTTCGTAGACTTGAACCTATCTCCGAATGCACCCGAGGAAGTAGACTCAAGTCTACGAAAGCTCATGCTACCAACTTTTCTCTTCCAGTTAGTCTCAGAGGTGCTTGTTGTTCTTGTTCTTAACCATCCTCCAGTC